TGCCCTGGTGACAGCCCTTAGCCAGCTGCAGGGGGGCGGGGCCTGGACAATCATGGGATGAGCTCCTCCCTGCTCCTTCCAGGGAGACCCCAGCATGAGAGAGGATTGAAGCCAAGGAGGGGGACAAACCTTTTGCTTGGGATCTGTTACAGGGGCTGATGCTGAGGGCAGATGGAGGGCTCAGGCCAGACAGGAAGTCCGGACTGTCACCTGACCCCGGAGCCTCTGTCACATTCCCAGGGCACAGGAGTAAGGTGAGGAGACAGGACGGGCACTGATGGAGCTGTGTGGCCACGTGGATGGGAGCACGGCGTGTCTGCCTGCTGACGATGGCAGAGCACCTTGCTGCAGGCCCAGGGAGCTCGTGGCTGCTGTTAGAGGACGTTTCTGCATCCCGGGGAGCAGAAGTTTGACGTCAGACCACCCTGACCTCCTTCCCTAGCTGGGAAAGTTGACCAAGCCTCTCGGAGCCCCTGTCTCCTGTCACACGACGTCCACTTCGCAGGACAGCTCTGAGGAAGAATGAAATCCTTGGTAAGGTGCCTGGCACACAAGCACATGGCTCCTCCCAGGCCATCTTAGTTCATGGCCACGTGTGACCCAAGGACTTCTTGCATGACATGAAAAGTCCCAGGAAGTACCTCTTCTGGGTGAGTGGGGCTCTCCTGATGGCTGATGAGCCCCACGGTCAGCTTCCCAAGGAGTTCCAACACCTGCTACTGTAAACACACACAGTGGCTTCAACAAGCAATGTATCACCATCTCCCTTGGGTCTGTGGATGCACTGGGCTCTGCTTCATGGTTCTTCTCTCTCAAGCCCGTGTGGCTAGAGGGTTCAAGCTTAAGAGACCTAAAGCCTGACTAGGAAGGGCATCTAAGAACACTCTACACATGGCTGGCAGTGACGGGGGCTGCGGGCTGGGGGCTCAGCTGGGTCACGGAGATGAGGGGAAGATGAAGAGAGTCAAAGTGGAGCAACCAAAAAAAGACAAAAAGTTGCGAAACAAGTTTCTAAGACACCACACTTCAGGCAATGAAAGATGACTACCAACAGGCAAGAAATGAAGCGAGCCGAGGTTATGGCCTTGACTTTCCAGACCACAGCAGAGAGAGTAGAAGGGACCCAGGCAGAACCCGACAGACTCCATGAGCTGAGAGCACAGGAGACTTCCCAGGGCAGAGTTCCAGAGTATGGGATACTGAAGAGAAGGGCACCCAGAGATCTGCAGAGAGCCCCTCTGAGACACAGAAGACCCCAAAGATGGCCACAGCCTAACCCCCTACATTGTGATTATGCAACTGACATGGCAAAGGGGCATTGAAGTTGCAGGTGGAATTAAGGTTTCTCATCTTAAAGACTCCTGCATCCTACATCAGAAGGCCTGAGTTTGAGTTTGGCTCTGCTCCTGATTCAAGCTTCCTGCTAATGCACACCCTGGGAGACAGCAAATGACAGTTCAAGTAGATGAGCTTCTGCCATCTATGTGGAAGACCCGGACTGAGTTCTTGGCTCCCAGCTTTGGCCGCTCGCCTGGCCTGGAGCTATTGTGTTTGGGGAGTGAACTGTGGGGAGCAACTGGGAGCAACTCGGACTAGACTGTTACTCGAATTAAGACTTATTCTATGCATCTGCTCTCCCACAATATGGCGCTGAGAAGGGAGTAACAGCTTCTACACAGCTGCCTCCAGTTCAACCAATAAACAGCAGGACCTGCTCCTGATTGGAGGAGAGCAGCGTACTAGGTGTGTGGGTAGCAGAGTTGGGATTGGTGGAAGAGGACTATAAAGGAGGAGAGAGACAACATGCACCAGGAACATCTATCTGAAGGAACACCTGTGCAGCCTCCGAGAGAGCCGGCCGGTGGTGTGCCGCTCCCCCGCGGAAGTGGGGAAAGTGGCAGGGGGAACCGCCCTTCCACGGAGGTGGAAGGGACGGTAGCCAACCCGGGAAGAACCAGCAGCAAACCCGGGAAGGGCCGAGAAGACGAAAGAACAACGCAGGGTCCTGTGTCGTTCCTCCACGAAGAAGGGGAGCGACAGTAAACCAGCAGATGGGGCCTCCTTTGCTCGCTCTCTTTCTCCTTCTTAGATAAAGTATTTTTAAAGGCTGACCACAGACTGACCTGAGCACAGGGATTATCTTGTTTCTCTAGGTTGGAGATCAGAGGAAGGAGAGGCTGGAAGTATGAGGGGTACCCAACCCCCCACAGGTTAGGGAAGGGGCCAGGAGGGGATGTGGGAGGCTTGAAGCAGGGAATGGCCTGCAGTTCACAGCCCAACAGGAAATGAGGATCTCACAGAACAGAATTATGCTAAGAACCAAGTGAGCAGGAAATGAGTTCTCCCCCAGAGCCTGCAGAAGGCAACACAGGACGCCAACACCTTGCTCTTAGCCCGGGGACACACGCGTTTAGGCAGAACCACAGAACCACAAGAAAATAAACTTGTGCTGTGTGTAAGAAAATGTCTGGCGGTCCATGTTCAACACAGAATGAAAAACTACCCTTGGCTGACTTGCAGGGGTAGCAAAACTCACTAGGCAAACAGGATGTTATGGAGTAGCCAACTCACAAGAGGACATTTAAGACCCAGAGAAAGCCAGAAGGTAACTGTAACTCAGGCAGTGTCTGGGAAGATTGTGCACCCCGTGGTACTCAGCCAGTGAAGAACTGGGCAGGGCCCTGCATGCTAGGACACATCGTCTGCGGTAACTACTCCGGCTGTGCCTGCTCACCAGACACCCCATCTTTCAAGACCAACAATAAAGTCTCACGTTCACTGCACTTCCTGAGTGACAGCCCAGCTCTTAAGTGGCCAGATAAGGATACTTCCCACATATGTAAGTCACTAAATTGGTGCTCATTTGTTAGGACAGCAACAGAAAACAACCCCTCCCCCCCACCAAATATTCTGCATGGTTCGATCAGCCCACCCATGTGAGGAAGCCACCTTCTAGCTGGATGGCCCAGCTGGAAGGTTAACAGGACATGGTGCCCACTGATGGCCCCGAGTCTGCCTTCTGTACTGACAGGCGGCAGAGCCAATGGGAAGCAGGCTTTGCTGCTGAGTCATGAGTGGCCGTAGACAAGACTCCATCTCCCTGGTACCCATTCATTCCAGTGGAACACGTGGGCTCTGTCTGGGAGATTCCAAAGGCCCCTCCCAACCACAGTGATGTTTTCCAAGTCACCAACACAGAGCACTAATCCTTGGACCACTGCTTCTCACTCACTGCTTTTCTTGGTGGGGAAAGAACTGGAATTCGTGGACGCAACAGTTTAGACTCGGCAGCAATGCCGACAAGTAGCACTGGGCCTGGGGGCCTGCTGCAGAGTGGACCTGAAGTTCAAGGCCATCCAACGGAGCGACCCCATTGTTCATAGGAGTTAAAAGGGGGAACCATGTGATACATATGCCACAATAGAAGAGGCATACTGCACAAGACATGCAATGGTTTTTAAAGACTGCAGCAGATCCAGGCCGGCGCCGTGGCTCACTAGGCTAATCCTCCGCCTAGCGGCGCCGGCACACCGGGTTCTAGCCCCAGTCGGGGCGCCAGATTCTGTCCTGGTTGCCCCTCTTCCAAGCCAGCTCTCTGCTGTGGCCAGGGAGTGCTGTGGAGGATGGCCCAGGTGCTTGGGCCCTGCACCTGCATGGGAGACCAGGAGAAGCACCTGGCTCCTGGCTTCAGATCAGCGCAGTGCGCCGGCCGCGGAGGCCATTGGAGGGTGAACCAACGGCAAAGGAAGACCTTTCTCTTGGTCTCTCTCTCTCTAACTGCCTGTCCAAAAAAAAAAAAAAAAAAGAATGAGGCAGATCCAAACACACAACACACAATGCACAGAGTTTTCCGGGTTCTAAGAGACATGGATGTGGAAGAGCAGGTTGCTGAGCAACGCGGAGTGATACTGCTTACGTCTGAGAAAGATGACAGACACAAAGATGACAGGTGTGTGATCGTGTACAGAAAACATGTAGGCACCAAAACGCATTGAGAAGAGCTCTGTTTGCCACACAGTGATCCTGTCAAAGCCTAAGTCGGCTCATGCCATTCCTCACTTCCGGCCTCTACCACAGCCTGGCTCAGGCTCACAGAGAAGCACACAGGTCTGCCTTGGCCAGCAGGGTCCCCTCTGATCTCGCCAGCTCTTCTCGGCCACTCTGCTCATCCTCTCCCTTGGTGGCTGCAGAGACTCTGCCTCCTGCCACCCCATGACCAGGCCTGCGAGTCTCTGCCCACTCAGTGCCTACACCTGCTCTCGCCCCAGCTGACAGCCCTGCCCCGGGCCTGCCCACGCCCTCACGCCAGGCAGATTCTGCCAGTCTCCCCCAGGGAAGCCGTCTCTGAGCACGCTGTGAAATACACTTTCTCCCCAGCGCTCTCCCTCCACACACCCACTTTACTTTTCCAGAGAGCACACATCATCATCTCTTGTTTTTAAATCTCATTTGCATCCTGCTTCCGGCTCAGACTGTGAGCTCCTCAAGTTTTATGCAAAGTCTTTCCCTAGGACCCAGAAGAGAGCTGGCACCCAGTGGGTCCCCGGCCGGGATTTTATTGAACAAAAGGAGGCATGATGCACAGCAAACCACACCCTGTCCATGCCTCCTGTGGAGAGACCAGGCTGTTCTGGAAGTGGTCAGGGAACTCTCGCTTTATCTGTCTGCTCCGAGTTGCTTATGGCGAGTGGGTTTTCACGTGTGGCTTATGAGATTCAACACAGAGAACAGGCCATTGTCATGCACAGCCCTGGAAACTTGTGAGAGTCTAAACTGGGAAAGCTGGGAGCCACAGACTGGGCAGTGGGGAGGAAAGCAGCAAGAATGCTCCAGGCAGAGGGAGCAGCATGAGCCAACTGTCCAGGTGGAGGTGAGCCTGTTGGCCAACCCTCCCGGGAGGGCCTAGTACTGGGCTGAAGGTCAGGTTCAGAGGAGACGTCTGACCTGCCAGCACTGGCACTGGCAGTTTACTCAAGCCCCAGTCTGGGGAGACACAGGAGCTGGTGACACAGTGCAGACAGAGGGGTGCACTGCTTTCCTGTTCACCTCACTGAGCAAGCCTCAGCACGGAACGACCCCTCGGATCCACAGAACCACCCCTCGGATCCACAGAACGACCCCTCGGATCCACAGAACCACCCCTTGGATCCACAGAACCACCCCTCGGATCGAGCAGGCTGAGCGGTGAGAGCGGCTGGCATCCTGGCCTGAGTAAGCACCTCCTCTCTCTGCCGATGGCACCTGTGACTGGTGACCTGGCACCATCCTCAGGCCCAATGGGGCAGCTGGTGCCATTGGCCGAGGAGGGAGAGGGCTGTGTAGGGGTGGGGAAGGGAAGGGAGGGGAGGGGCAGAGGCTCAGACTGTGATGGACTCAGAGCCACCCCAGTTCATTTTGACCTCTGGGGAGTCACTGAGCCCCGCGGTCATGGGGATTTTCCTCTTCCTCCTCTGTGTGCCCACCCTGGCCCTGATCTGACTTCCATCTTGTCTCTTCAGGCTCTGCAGTTCCACCTCCTGGCTGCACCCCTGTGCCTCTCTTGTGCTGGCTGCACCCCTGTGCCGTGCCACCCCTTCCTGGACAACGTGGAAGACTTGCCTTTGGCTGTCCAGCACCCAAGGAAGCCATTCCTGATCCTCCAGGCCAGGGTGAGCCCCCTCCTCGGTGCCCCTACAACCCTTGGAAATACCCTCATTCTCACCTGTTCCTGTCATGCCCCAGGGATCTGTCTGTCCTGCCAGCTGGGACTGGGTGGAGGCTGGGATGGAGCTGTGCCCAGGTCTTGGGGCAGAAAGGGCTCTCAGTGAATACGGGGTATGGATGGAATGCGCAGTCTCCACGAGGAGACTGGGGAGGAGCCTCTGGGGAGGCTGACAGGGCAGCTCACCTGCAGGAAGATATCGCTGCATGCCCAGGAGAGGATGAGGTTGTGGGGACAGTCAGGGAGGATTTCCAGTGAAGGGAGCGGCCGAGGGCCGCCATAAAAGTGGCCTTGATGAAATAGAAAAGAACAGGAACTGAGACAAACAGTTCCAGAAACAGTCTTGGGAAATGGGGGAGTAAACTGGTTCACAGAGAAAGCAGTTAGCTACTATTCAGAGATACCGGCAACAGAACATCCTGTTATGTACATAAGCCCCCTCCCCTGTGCTTGCTCAAGCTTAACAAAGAAACTGCGAGGCACGTAAGGCACGTAGCAGCCCGCTTCTCTTCCTCAAATGACCCCCCCCCCCCCGTCATACCCTTTGACCTAGTACTTTTCCACTGACTATACCTCCCTACCGCTTCCAAACTGCCATATTAGGTCGATTGCTGAAAATTATCCAATGAACTTATGCCACCCTATAGTATGTTAATCTTGTGGTTTTGCCCCTTTAAAGCTGTGTGAGATAACTGCTCGGGGCTCCTCTCTTTCTCGCTGCTTGCGGCAGCAGAGGGCCCATTTGTGCAAATGAAATAAAACTGCCTCTTGCTTTTTGCATCGCCTGGTCTGGAGTCTGTGTTTCTGGGGTCGTCACAAAAGGGCACCACTTTTGGGGTCCTTCACCAGAAGTGCCTTGGCCACTGGGGAGGGTCTCAGGCAAGGGGCGCACCCTCCTGGCGTTAACTAAATCCCAGGGCCAGGTTCACAATTCACATTCTGCTCTGATGTGAGGTGGGGTAGGGTGGGATGCCTGGAGGAATGCAGCTTGTAGTTAGTGACTTGGAGTCTGAATTTTAGGGGGACACATCCCTGTCCCTGCCTCTCCAGGAGGGCAGGGGCAGGTGGACGAGCAGGACCCTCATTCTGGCCCAGGTGGAGGGCAGGAATTGTCTGCAAGCTCCAGAAAGATCGTCCAGCTTAGTTAAGAGTAGCCCATGCTGGGAACGCCCAGCAGCTGTTGCTGCAGCAGTGGCCAGCAGGTGTCTCAGAGTGAGGACCGGGAAGGAGACCCGGTCAGGGTGACCGCTGTGTGGAGGAAGACTCCACCTCGGGAGGGCTTCCTGGGGACTCGGAGCAGAGCAGTGTCTGGGCTTCAGCAGCACCCTGATGCAATCATTTGACGCTCCTAATTTCTCGGCTGTTTAATTACAGGCTCTTCCCCCTACATGTATGTCTCATTCTCCTCTGAGCACCGTCACTAAGGCTGCCTGACTGGGAACATCGGAACAGAAAGGAACCAACAGGAGAGGGCCACAGCCCAGCCCCCTCCCTAGGGCAGGGGCCAGAGGCCCAGAGACAAGGAGAGGCAGCCTCAGGGCCACCGCGGAATCGGAGGCAGAAGCAGTCCAGAGCAGCTCCCCCCGCTCCATCTCCCTTCTGTCTCCATCAGTGACCCTCCTCTCTTCCTCTCAGAAATGGCCTTGCATTTGTCAAAATGAAATCTGATTACCGGTGTGAAGGTGCCTGGTGGCTGGAAACCAAAACAAACACCTGTGCAGGTTCTGAGCGGCTGGCCCTGTAGGGTCGAGCACCGAAGGCAGGTGGGCCAGACTACCTCACCACCTAAGTTTTCTGGACCACAAGCACCCTGCCTCGTTAGCATACAGTCTGCAGCTGCTTCCGCGCTGTCATGCCAGAGCTGACGTGTAGTGATGGAGATCGCACAGCCCACAAAACCTACAATAGCTGCTCCTCCAGGGCTGCAGAAGCCCACCCCACAGCTCTATTAGGATTCCTTCAAGGTCTAGAAGAAGCAAAATGCTGTCTTACAGTGGACAGAGCAATAATGTCTACCAGATACTGAGACCACAGTGGACCCTGGAATGCCAATGGTACCGGCTGGCAAGGCTTAGATTTTCCCACAGCCGATGCCTCCATCAACCCTACAGATTGGGGTGGACATCCCCACTATGGATGAGATAACGAGGCGTGGGGAGGCTGAGGAAGTTGCCAGAAACCATGCAGCACAGGAGCTGTGCCCTGGAGTTGCCCCGATGCAGGCTCCTCCTTCCCAGGCGTAGTCCAGGGCTAATGCCAGCCCACAGTGAGTGACAGTTGGGCGGGCACCTCAGAGACCCTCCAACTCCAAGCTCTGTCTGGCAGAGACGGAGGCCCAGACAATGGAAGAGACTCCATCCCCCGACCAGGCTGGCCTCAGTCACAGGTGCTCTGAGTCGGCTGAGCTGCTAGGCAGGTAACACATCTTACCTTCATCTATGTGACAGCCACGGACACATCCATATCTCCACTTTTTTTTTTTTTTTTTTTGAAGGCACTGGGGCTCAGGAATCTAAAGAGCTGTTCCCGGGCCCCACAGCTAGGAGAGGTGAGGTGTGGATGAAGATTCTTCTGAGCCCAAAGCCAGGGTGAGCTGGAGCTGTCACAGAAGCAAAGAACCATCTACTTCCACTGCTCAGGACAGCCCACCAGCCCTCCGCTCCTGCTGCCTGCCGGCACCAACCTGGGGTATTGGCTGGGCATCCTAGCGCCCCCTTCTGGTGCATCATCACCTCGGCACGCTCCATTCCCATTTGAACCTACTGTGGGCCCACACTCACCCCCCACAGCAGTCCTGCACCTGCAGCTGACATAGGTTCCACCTGCTTCAGCACGAAGGCGATGAGGAGCAGGTGCTGGAGGGAGAGCTGAGGCCAGGCATGCGTGTATCCAAATCTCAGCCTGGGTTTCATTCCCAGCAGACGGAAGTGTTCCCCTTAAAGCAAAGTAACTGGCCAGAACCTTGATTTCCGCATCTGTGAAATGGACAACACAGGCTACGTGTGAGGACTGAGAGGTAACATGTGCAGAGCATCAGTAGAGGGATGATGTCACCGGCACTCAGCAAACGCTCACTGGCGTGGCCACCCTGCAGTGCACAGGGAGGGAAAGGAAGCACCCACAGCTCCAACGATCTGCCCCAGGATCCTAAGCTCGAGGCCCAGGAATCCCTGGCAGGTGCACTGAGGTCGTGTGTGTGCGATGCTTTCCCAAGGAGCACGTCTGTGGCTCTGCTCAGAACCCCAAAGCTAAGAACCACTGCTTGGGAGGTCTGCGGCTCCTGTCTGGGGGACCCTCCTCCCCTCCCTCTGCCCTCAGCCTGCAACATTCTCCCCACCACAGCCCCTCGCATACTCTGACATCTGGGCTTTCCCGGGAGGTCTGTGCCCACACAAGCTCCATCTCCTGCCCCTCTGGAGCCCAAGACTCGGGAGCGCAGAGCAGACCACGGTTCAGCAGGACAGAACGGGAAAGCAGCGTGCACACCAGGCCCCTTCCTTCTCTCTGCCTGGCCTTGGACATCAGCGACGCAGGAGGTGCCAGCAGAAGCTGAGGCTGAGACGATGCCCTTCACCCACCCGACACACACGACGGTTTGCAGGGCTTGTGAGAAACTCCCTCAGTTACACTGCGCTGGGTGCATGCAACCCCAACCACGCAGAAACAGATCCGGCTGATTTAGGACAAGGGAGATGCTGAAGACGTCACGGGTGGTTTGGACACCTCCTGGGGTGGTAGGTCCTTGTAGCAGGACTGCAATGCCACCAGCTGCCCTGTGTTGCCGCTGAGCCTCTGCCAGCGTGTACCAGGTATCCCCCTGCTCAGTCTTCCCTTGACCCTAAGAGCTTGGCATCAACTTCCCCATGGTAAAGCCCCAGGCAGGAAGCATGAGGACGGATGGGGTGGGGAGGGGAGGGAACGGAGGGCTCCAGGTTTACAGGCTTTGCAGGTGCTTGCGCAGACAAGGCACCTCAGGACGGGTTCTAAGGTCTTAAGAGGGCCAGGGATACACTTCTGGCTGTGATGTCCAAGGCTAAGGGCTCTTTCCCTCAGCAGCCACTGGATGCCCAATGTCAGAACCACAAGGACAGGAAGTGACCGCCCTACCGCTTTCTTAGGGCTGTTCCCACAGCGAGCCCCCAGTGGGAGGAGCCTGTCTTGGCAGTGAGAGGACCTGTAATGATCTGTTCCCAAGGGTCCCTCCTGCCCCGTCTGACATAAGACCTGGGTGGTGAAAGCAGCAGTAGCAAGGGCCAGAGGCTGCCCCAGAGGCTGGAGCTTCCCAGGCCTGTGGTGGGGACATCAGCCCTCTCCGCACACGCTTCGCCAAGGAGACGAGCAGGAGCATCGGGCACTCGTGGGCTCTGTGCCATCTGCTGAGCCCTCTTCCCTCTCTGCGCTGCAGTTTGCTTGTCTATAAAATGGAGCAGCACAAAAAAACAAATTAAAGATTTGCTTATTTATTTGAATGGCAACATTACAAAGACAGAGAGAGAGAGAGAGAATATGAATCTCCCATTTGCTGGTTTAAATGACCACATTGGCTGGGGCTGGTCCAGGCTGAAGCCAGGAGCCAGGAACGCCTTCCATGTCTCCCACGTGTGTGGCAGGGGCCCAGGCATTTGGACCATCTGCTGCTGCTTTCCCAAGTGCATCATCAGGGAGATGGTTTGGAAGTGGAGCAGCTGGGTCTAGAACCAGCACTCACATGGGATGTGGGCTCCACCTGCTGCACCCCAATGCCAGCCCCGAGCCCAGGCTCCTTGTGCCCCACGGTCCCTGCTCTGCGTTTGTGTTACACGCCAAGCAGCCATCCTAATCCCTGCAAACCAGCGACCTTCCGAGTCTCTCCTGGCATCTGGGGCTCCCGCCACCTAGGCTGCCACCCGTGCGTTCGAGGGGCTACAAAAATACATGGAGTAAAAATGACAAGAGGCCTGAGAGGTGTGAGAGGCAGCCCTCCTGGACGCTGGCCAGGAAACTGAGAGGCATCCTCTTACTGAAGCCGCACATTTCCATCAAGGGTGTTGTTGACCTCCATTTTAGGGATGAGAAAACTGAGCTCAGAGAGAAGGTAACCCCAAGCTGGGATTCTGACCCATCGTGGCACAGGTTCCGTGGCTCACCGCAGATCCACCAGGGTCCTCAAAAGAGTGCTGGCTGATAGGGGACTGAGCCCCTGACTGGGTTTTCAGTCACTCAGCTCCGTGTGACCTACAGACAGGTGAACACTCCACTCCAGCCTGCAGAACCCATCAGCTAATGCCCTCTCCTCTCTGTCCCTGGACTGCACAGGACCCACACATTCATTGCAAACAGTTCCAGTAGTGGCTCCCTTACCAGCCTCTCTGTCCCATCACAACCCTGCCCAGAGCAGGGCTGCTGTCTGGGCCATCTGTGTCCCACACATCTGGTTCCGGGGACTCAGAGAAGAGATGCAGAGTGGGGGAGGCAGCAGGTGCCCCTGTCCCGAGCCTGGTTCCCCCAGAGGACTCTGGTCCAACACAGCTTCCTTCTGTCTGCACAGCCCTTTCTCTTCCCGTTTGTCTGCTCAGTGATAGTAACAGACCAAGTCGTCCCTGCCTGCTTAGCCTGCAGGAAGTGGGACAACTTTTATCTACCAGAAACCACCGAAGCCTTAAATTGCAGCGTGGATGGCAGCAGTGACAGATTAGAATTTTCTAAGTCAAAGCCCAATGTACCTCAGTCATGACTAAGAGAAGAACTGAGTTGACTTGCAAATAATTTACTGAGAAAATGTTGTGATGCGTAGTAAATTCAGTCCCCCTTGGCATGGTTTTGTGTTTTTTTTTTTTTTTTCCTTTTGTTCCCCTCCAGCAAAGTATTAGTCTACTTAATTGATTCGCAAAGACTTCCTGCTAGGCCTTACCACCGTGAGCAAGTGATGGATGCAAACCTGGAACCCATTCAAGGGCATGACGGACAGTTCATTCCGAAATTTTAAAAGGGGTGGAGGGGGAAAAGCATGTAGAACCACATGGGTTGTATTTCCTCCAGCCCAGGAAGACAGAACCAAACAACAGGGGGAAAATCATCAGTGACAACAGCTAATGAATTTTAAATACTGATTACAAGAAAAACTAATTTTCTAAATTAGCCCCACAGATACAGGTTAAAAACGGAATTGCTGCCTCCTCAGAAATGCAAAACCGAGAGAAGCTCACACAACTCAGCCACACTGGAAGGTCATGTCCACAGTCTAACCACCACCAAGAGCGGCCGAGCTGCCCCTACACACCCACACGACCCCGCCCCCCAGAACTGCCCAGCTACGGGGTTGCTCATCAAGTCTTCATCTACGCCCTGGTGGGCACACCTGTCCCCTGGGCCCCCCTCCCCACCACCACCACGTGCTGACCTGAGAGCTGAACACAGAACCTATAGAAAGCTCCTTGCAGAGTTCCTGATGTGCAGGGAGCTGGCCATGCCTTGTGCAATTATTATCCACCCCTGCACTACATGGGGGAGGTGGTGTGCTCGCCCAAGTCCTGCTCCGGCCTCTACTCCTTATTCAAGGCCCGGCCTGTGTTAACAGCTGGGAGCTGGGACGTGAGGCCACACTACAGAGGCAGCGCCTGTCTGGGTGCAAGAGCTGCTGGTGGCCGAGCGGAAGGGTCGCCTGTGGGAGGGACCAGGGGCTGGCTCAGCAGCCCTCAGCTGCCTCCCCCCACCCAGTGACCCAGGGATTCTTTAGCTGGTCCTCATCATGCCTCTGGCCTCAGGCTGGCCCTGGGCCTCCTGTTCTGCTGGCTTACACTTGACATGGGTCCTGGGCACCTGCCCCCACCCTCAGTCCCTGCTCCTCCTTCCTGGTGTTGGAGCTGACAGACGGAAGTGACAGGGTGGCACAGGAAATACAAACAGTACCAGAGCAATCAGGAGCCCGTGTCTGCACGCGGTCCCCAGGTGCATCACTTTGTAACCTTAAGTGTCACCCAGGGCAGGCTGCTCACCCATAGCAGAGTCCTGCGCGAGTCACTGTCTTCTCCACTATACAAGGGAGGGTCAGGTGGCAGAGGGCACGATCCTTACCAGAGCTGATCTTGCCCGGGCTCAATTCCTGGTTCTGCCACTTGCTGTGTGGCCCTGAACAAGTGAGTTAACCTCTCTGTGCCAGCATTCCCACATGAGGTCACTGGAAAGCGGCGTGTGTGGAGAAAAGCAGCGTGTCCTGTCCTCAGGGGATCAGAGTGGGTGAAGATGGCCGGACCCCGGGTGCGCACAGGTGCGGCAGGACCTGCCTCGATGCCCCCACCTCCAAATGCGTGGGATCCACCAAGAGCAGCAGCCTGGGGATGCTGGCCACACCACACCTGCCATAAGCATTGGTCTACTGCTCCTAAGATTCAAGAGGAGATGGCAGCCACTTCCCAGCCGGCAGGGCAGGGGGTGCTGGGTGCCAGGGGACGGCAAGTGAGACTGGTCACCGCAGAGCGAGTGCAACACCTTGGGGCGCATCGCTGGCCGCAGTCCAAGCACTGGGCCTTGGAAAGGGGTCAGGGCTGGACTCAAGCGTAAATCATCCCTGCACTGAGGACGCTAGGACTCGGGCAGGCAGGAAAGGCTTTTATTCCATCCGCCTCACCTCCTTAGGATGGAGGTGAGAAAAGTGCATTTCTCTTACAAGCGGAATTCCAAGATGGTGAGCTGAGACCCTGGGACGGGGCTGAGCTGCGGTGACTTCACGTGACAACAGGAACCCCCGACACTTGAGGAAGGAGGGACTTTGTCCATGGAGCCAGGACGATCCCCGCCCCACCCAGAGGTGACTCCAGCACCATAAGGTCACTTCCTGTCATGGCTTCTCCTTTTGCCAGACTGCATAGTGGTCCCTGATGAAGTCTGGGCACCTGGATGGGGCTCAGGGAGGTAGGGATGTGGAGACAGCCTGGGAGTCTCCATCTGGATCTTGAAGCGAGGGAAGAGGTGGGGCAGGTGACAGAGAAGTCTGTCCAGAAGCAGACACTACGGGGCAAGGGCGTACGTGTGTGCTGGGGACGGGGGTTCCTGGATTGCTGGTGATGCCCGTCACGCTGCCCACCCCAAGGGGGACGTGGAGAGTCCCGCCTGGGCGGCCGGGCGGCGAGGGCAGAGAGAGCGCCATTCTGGGAGCCAGGCCGGCGGCCGTGGCTGTGCGGTGGTGCTGTCCTCTACAGCTCCTGGGCCGGCTGCTCCACAGCCTGCTCCTCCGCCGGCTGCACGGCCTCCTGCACGTAGACGATGAACTCCGAGGCCTCTCCGCCCTGCGTGTACACGGTCACCGTCTCGATGCCCTCCACGTCATCGGAGGACACCACCAGGTGGTGCTGCTCGGCCAGCTCCACGGAGGCTTGCTGGAGGGTCTCCTGGATCATGACCGTGTGGTTGGAGCTGGGCTCCTCGTCGGTGACCTGGGGGAGGGCAAGAGAAAGGTCACCCAGGTCCGGTGGTGACAGCCACAAGGGAAGAGAGCAAAATCACACTCACAGGCGACAGAGCAAGTAGTACATGCCAGGAGCCCTGTCCACGCTGCGTGGAGCCCTCTGCCCAAGCTCATCTCACGGATAAAGCACAAGTCTCTGTGACGCTAAGCAACATGGGTAAATGGTGGAGCCCAAGTTCAAACCCAAAGTCAAGCTCTTTGCTGGCCATCAAGCTGCCACCAGGGCTTCCGGGGGTGTGGGAACTACCTAATGAATGGAGGCTGGAAGGCACTGTGGAGGCCCCCGCTGCAGCACAGGGGTGTTGGGGAACCAGGTCTACGCACCCACACTCCGGGAGGTCGGCTCTTGAAGGGGACAGACCGCGTGAGACAGGTTTTCCCCAGGTGCTGTCCATCAGCACTGATGCTCCCCCTTCCGGAAGCAGCCTGCCTGTGAGAACTTGATGTCACAGCGAGGGCAGAGGCCTAGCGAGCATCTGCGGGCGCAGAGCACCTGCTGCCCTCAGCCAGGCCTTTCTCCACAGCCCCAAGCTGACAGACTGCAGGCCAGGCCTCGTGCCAGCTCTTGCTGACCTCCCATGGTCTGCGCTGGTTTTGATCTTGAGAAGAGGAATAAGATATGTGAAAGACTTAGAGAGGTGGAGCCTGGAGCTGGCGGATTAGAACACAAACACAGGAGGAGGGAAGGTGCTGGGCTGCTGAGCCGGGGTGGGACACGAGAGTGCTCAGGGGGATGGAGGGGTGTAGGGCCCGCGCATGTCCAAGGGGTGCCTGTGGCAGGGTGGAAGGAACGCATGCCTTGTCCTGCACTAACTGACCTGTGGCCATCAGCTCCTCCACGTATCAGCTGCAAGGCCTCGGGAAGCACCTCCCCTACCTCCCTGTCTTCCCATTGTAAAACAGCGACCAGCTTGCCCACGTCAGAAGGCTGCTGGGGGTGGGGGCAGGACTGTGGCCCAGCAGGTCGAGCTGCCACCTGCCAGCACCAGCATCCCATATGATTCCTGGCTGCTCCACTTCCAATCCGGCACCCTGCTAATGCACCTGGGAAGGCAGCAGGTGTCCCAAGTGTTTGGACACCTGCACCAAAGTGGGAGACTCAGATGGAGTTCCCGGCACTGCCCTGGTTGTTGAAACCATTTGGGGAGAAATAGCAGATGGAAGATTTCTCGCTCACTCTCTCCCCTTCTCTGTAACGCTGCCTCTCAGATAAATCTTTATTTAAACACAACAAGGCTGCTGTGGGAATCACAGGAGACGGCGTTTGCAGACTGGATCCCTCATTACACCCCTGCCTTTCAATCTCTTCACGCATCCAGTGACACTTTCCTACGCAGCTGTGACCTGGAAGGCATGGTGGCCCCTCAATCATTCTCCCAACAAACTTTCATCACTGCCAGCCACCATTAGACTGAGAGCCCGACGGGGCAGGCAACATGCTGTCTTGCTTTAGCTGCCTCCCTAGGGCCAAGCTCGCCACCTGCCTGGCACACAGCGGTTCTCAGTGTTGGCCACGAGATGACCCGCTAAGCGCCCAACTCCACGACAGGCACTCACGCGGCGTCACGGTGGAGAGTCACAGTCGCCCCGAGCAGCTCAGCTCGGGGCTGTGGGGCTCTGCGCAGCTGCTCCGGGAGGACGGGCTCCAGGCAGAAGGGAGGGAGCAGGGATCCCCAGATGTGGGGAGCGGCAGGTTTCCCAGGTAGCCTGAGGTGACTCAGACTGGGCGGCGCCCCACTCCACAAGCCATCCATCTGCGATGGGCCATGATGCCAAGGGCCCCATCAGCTCAGAGGGTCGCATTCCAGCCCTGAGATCATCCCAATACTGGGAGCGAGAAGGCACATGTCAACAGCTGGGTGGGCCGTGTTTAGTTCAGAAAGGCGGAACAGGCACCTCTGGGTGGGCTCTGGAGGCTCCCCTGTTGTGGACACGGAGGAACTTTCTATTTGGACTGACGGAAGTCACATGATCTGTGCAGCTACCAGGTGGAATCACTGATACATTAAACTGGACTTCCCTCCTCCCTCCTCCCTCCCTCCCTTCCCTCTTCTTCCTCCACTGTTTGTTTCACTTAATGGGGAAAATGTAGCATGAGCCAGGCTTCAGAATTAAGCGCTGGTTTATTTTACTAGGAAAGACAGTACCTGACAGGAGACTGGGTGATGGAACAAGGGCACGAGCCTCAGCCATGTCAGGTTCCTGTTACCCTGCTTTCTTTCAAGGGACCAGTACTGCCCCACCCCCACCCCAGCCCACCTAAGGCATGAAGAGGCCCAGCCTGCTTCTGCCACGTGCTCCATCACCCACCTCTGCGGATTTATTTTCTCGGAATAAATTCAGACTGGCTGCAAACTCGTGCCCTACCTCTCTGTTCTGCACCCCTTTTTCTTACATTTGGTGCCCTGGGTGAGGAGGGAGCAAAGGATCCGGCCTTTGGGTTAGAGCTGTGACTCCCTTCCCCCTTTTTCCGCAATCTCTCCTCTGGCTCATCGATTCCTGTGATGTGATGCTGGTGCCCTGCCCACCTCTTACTTAGTTCTTTCCCATCATCTTCACTTTCCTTTCAAGAGAGAGACGGTGGAAGCGTGGGCCTGGGAAAACCTGGTGGATGACTGAGGGCCTCCCCTTGAATCTTCTACCCCACCCCCCGACCTGAGAAGCCGGCATCTCGGGAACACACAGCCCTCCACTCACTCCATCCCCCCACTCTCGAGCACCTCCTCTTCCTCTCACCAGCAGCAGGGGCAGTCGCCGCCTCTCCACCCTCCTCTCCCCTGAACTCTCTTTATTCTGCCCTCCCCACGGAAGGACAGCCTCCCTACAGGCCCCCGCCCCACTCTCTCTCCCTCATCCCACTCTGCCCTACGCGCCACAGGCATGGGTCTCTGTGATCCTGAGTCCAGAGACCATCCTCGGCAGGTGCAGCGGCAGGTGACAGTGGCTCAGGTGCCACATGTCCCAGACAGTTAGATTATTGTCCCTAGCCCGTCCTGATCAGTCTAAGGCTGATGGCTTAATCCTCAGTCAGTCCCTTATTCAAAATAAGCATTCGAGTGGCTTAGTCTATTAGCACAGGCTTAAAATTGTTCTCCACAGTAGCAGTAAGGCTTCCACAGAGCCATTGTCCCGAGGCGGGCACCCCTTTTCCCCAAGTGCTGTATCTGACATGTCATTCAGCTAAATGATAGCGTAACAGAAAACCTTCCCCTGTGGGACTCACGAGTCCCTCCGTCAGGCACCGCGTTCTGTGGTCCTGCCCACCTCAAGTGTTCTGGAATCCAGGCCGGATCACAGCCAGCACCTGGGCTCTCTGTGGGGTCTGCTGCTGCTGCTGCTGTGGGGCCGACTCCCGCCCAGATCCCCTCGTCCTGGGTGTCACCCTGTCACGGCCACTTACTGGGCAAACGACGGGACAACTTGTGCAGTGCCAGGCGGCCAGGGTGACTCCAGCCGCCTCGGTCTTGCTTGATCCCCACTTCCCTGCCCGTCCTGCCTTCTGCACCTCCAGCTCCCCTCCCAACAATCACAGAAATCCCGAAGTCTCCCAGCTCAGGAATCCCGCCCCTGTGTCACTCCCGTGGAGCCCCGCGGAGCCGCCTCGCGTGGGCTTTGCACCGTGATCCATTTCGGCACAGACCTCCCGACTAAGCCAGGAGTCTCCGGGAGCAAGGGCGGCCCAGTGCTCGTGGGCACACAGCAGGTGTCTACGCTCTTCTAGAATGACTGCTGTGGCCCAGTGTCCCCCCTCCAAAACTCACGCTGTGACTAGGGGACATTCTGGGGACGTTTGTGAGGTGACCTGGTCTTGAGGGCTCTCCCCGCAGGGATGGACAAATGCCCCCATCACGGGACTACGTGCCCCGGGACAGGACAAGCGTAGCCCACCTGCTGTCTCACATGTGCTCCCGCACCCTTCCCCCAGGCGTAGGCAGCGCTTGCCTGATGCCCTTGCCAGGCCCTTGGTCTTTCCAATCTACAGAACCCACTGCCAGCACTGGCATCGTAGTGCAGCAGGCCAAGAAAACACGACGCTGGCATCTTGTGTCAGAGCACTGCCCCGCTTCTGGTCCAGCTCCCTGCTAATGTGCCTGGGAAGACAGTGGAAGATGGCCCAAGTGCTTGGACCCCTGGCACTCACGTAGGAGAACTAGATGGAGTTCTGGAGTCTGGATTTGGCCTGGCCTAGGCCTGGCCACCGCAGCCATTTGAAGAGTAAAGTGTGGAGATCTCTCTCTTTCCCTTTCAAATAAATGAAATAAATATTTTTAAATTTTTTAAAGATTATTTTATTTGAAAGGCAGAGTTACAGAGAGAGAGAGAGAGGGAGAGAGGGAAAGAGAGGGAGAGACAGAGAGAAGGAGAGAGGGAGTGAGGGAGAGAGAGAGAGAGAGAGAGGTCTTGTATCCACTAGCTCACTCCTCAAATGGCTGCAGCAGCCGGATGCAGGGGCCCAAGCACTTGGGCTAACCTTCACTGCTCTCCCAGGCCATCAGCAGGAGCTAGATCAGAAGTGGAGCAGCCAGGACTCAAATCAGCACCTATATGGGATGCTGGTGCTGCAAGCAATGGATTAACCCACTACATGTCACAGTGCTAGCCCCAGAAATAAATATTTTTTTAAAAAATCCATTGTTGGGGTTGATGTTGTGGTGTAGTGTGTAAAGCCACTGCCTGGACTGCGGTTCAAGTCCCAGCTGTGAAAGGAGCAGAGGATGGCCCAAGTGCCTGGGCCCCTGCACCCACGTGGGAGACCTGGATGAAGCTCCCGTCTTCAGTCTAACCCAGCTCTGGCTGTTGTCACCATTTGGGAAATGAACCAGCAGAGAGAAGACCCCTCTCAGGCTTGCACTGTGGAAGCCGCCGCCTGCAGTGCCAGAATCCTGTATGGGCGCCAGTTTCAGTCCCGGCTGCTCCACTTCTGATCCAGCTCTCTGCTATGGCCTGGGAAAGCAGCAGAGGAAGGCC